CACTGTATCAAGAACCTAAAACAAGTTACAAAACAGGAGAAGACCATTCAACTCAGTAAATCTACCACAGGGCTGCATCTATCATATAAATTGGTCAGGAAATCACTTTCCCATATTCAGAAGATGTACCAATGACTGCAGAAATGGAGTTTATAACGAACGTTAGGGAGGGATGACAACCAAGTTCAGTCAGACTTGGCTGTCAGTAATAAGCAAGCATTTCTGATGTCATTTCCTCACCTATAACACTGTAAATACTGTACGTGATTCCCTTCTCTCCCTCGCATACATTTTTTGCCTCACACCCACCCCATCTCCACCTCTGCAGCTGCCCCTTGGTCACTCCTCACTCTGCATGGGGGTCCTACTGTATGGCCAGGAGGTTAGCCCTCAGCCATGTGTGGTTGACTACATACTCCATACTCCTTTCAGGACACTTGATTCTTGGGTGTTGTTTTTTCTAATGAATTGAATATGGGATTTCTTTAAAATGTCTTTTAAAGATCCATATTGATTGTGGAGGGAAAATAAAAGTTATTGGACACCAAGAGGATGGTTACTTGTCTGTCTGTATCTGCTCTGTCTCTGGAATGTTTTCCTCCATTATATTATACTGTATATCAAACCAAGTCTGAAACAACTGAATGTGTCATGCAGTCAGCCATGTAACAGCTAGTGTCAAACAATATTCAGAGTGTTGCCAATTTAAGTGTGTCTGCAGTCAATTACAACAACACAAAACTGTCAGACAGCAGCTGGTTTGAGGGAAGAAAATGGATCTTGGATATAGTAAATTGATTTTAATTCTGATAACTTTAAAAATCACATGTGGTGTTGGAATTTGAAATGTTAAAAATAACTCTGTGGATGGTGCTACATGTGCAAAAATACAGTTTGGCATTGATCTGTTTTTGTCTGGGCTCCACGTGCAGCCAGCTCACTGTGCCTCCTGCTTTGCACAGAAGTACACAGCACTGTCAGCAGACTTCAGTTCCCGCACAGTCAGGTACAAAGATGAATCTTTCCGCTCTGAAGAGAACCTTCCTTCAATTTTTTTTTCCATTGATTCCGTGTCATAATAGTAATATACTATGAGCTCCAGATGTTGTCCAGGCAGCTGGCGGTACCAGTACATTCCCCTGTAGCTGGTGCCTTTCTGAGAGCAGTACAGAGTCACATTGTGTCCTTCTTCAACCATGACATTGGGAGACTGGTCAACTGCTAGAGCTGAAAAGGCAAAACACAGATTCAGATCATGACTTGAAAGTAGCACTTTCCTTCCTACTGTACATAGAATTAGTCCAGCAGAAAAAATAAACTTCTGGACAATCCACAAATGGTATTTGGAAATATTTTAGCATTGCAGTTACAGTATCAACCAGCATTTCACTGTCCCCTGGAAGAAAAACTTTAGTTCCAACGATTCGAAATGGAAAGGCGGTCAGATGGACAGGAGCAGAGCTCTTTGTGGAGTTGGTAGTCACATCGATCGGAACAGCTGTACCTAAAGGGATCAGCAGGAGAAGAGCAGTGAGAGACATATTCCTCAGAGGAGAGGAGAGAAGTTCTCATCAACATCTAGAGGGACAGCAGCTGCTGCAGCCTGTTGCAGGCTCTGTTCAGGAAGTGATGCAGCATAGTGATCTGTGAGGTAATGAACAGCAACAGAACTGGCGGAATAGAAAGGGGAATGATGTAAAACTGTCCAGTTTCATTAGTACTTAATGTTGCATTTCTATTACTTTACTGACAGGTTCATGGTGCTAAGAAAAACATCTAAATGTAGACATCAACATTTGTAAATCAAGATATTATAGTACAACATCTAGGTGTTAACAGTTTTGGAAGAAATTATTTTACTTTACTTTAACTGCCCTGTTTCTTTTAGGTAATAACAGGATTTTGTTATTCTCTGGACATTTTGTATTATATTGATGCTGCTCAAGTATTCACTATTTCTTGTGTTGTAGCTCCCCCTATTGCAGTAAAATGCAGTAGGGAAGACAAGGAGGAGTTTTTGACAAGCTGTGCACGAGCTCTGCATCACTGTGTTTGCCAGCTGCACAGAAATATGTGGCGCCGTCTCCTACCTCCAGCTTCTTCACTGTGAAAGATCCATTTTGAGCAATAGTTTTATGGACTTCATATTTCTCTTTACTGAACTCTCCAAAGTCAGGGTCACCACCAACAACAGAGTAGACAATGAGCTGAATTCTCTCTCCAGGAAGCTGACGGAACCAGTACATAGCATTGTAGTTGATGTCCAGCTTGTGTTCACAGTGCATCTCTGCAGACCCCCCTGGCTTTCTCCAGAGGATTGGGGTCTGCAAAACTTTACTCACCTCACAGTGACCTGCTAAAACAATAACAATGGAGATTAACTCTAAAGGAGTCCTGTAGCCTTATGTTATGCATTGAATTTCCTTATTAAGCATTATCAGAACTACATATAGTGCACATCAAATGTACTGTAAGTTTATTTAGATATCACAAATTAGTTTTATATATTCATTAAGATTAAATTTGTCCAAAATATTGAAATTAAATAAATGTTTTAGACTCTTCTACGTATAACAAGGTTGCAGTTATACAGTATTAGATTGGATCAAAATACAAACATAGGCTTACTTGTTAAAATGTGTAAGAGAAGAAACAAATTCAGAAACAATCTCATCTCTCCTGCTCCCAGTCCACTGACACAAAAGAAAGTTTACAGAGTCTGCCACTGGTTGTATTATGATTAGCAGGAACTCCATGCAGGAAATGACATGGTCAGAGATACTCTAGGCATCAAATTAAAAGTTCCAAGAACCATAAATAAAGGTCTACAGGTACATTTAGAAAATGAAATACATTTTTTTTATATCTTGTGTTCTATCACTCCCTGCAGGATAGGTCTTTTTTTACGTCATTACAACTGGGACTCATAATGTCATGGAGTTTTCAACTCAGTGCTATACTGTAACTCTGCAACACCTTCCATCAGCTCAGAAATATTTTACATGACATAATGTTGTGGCTCCAGCTTCATAATCTAAAAATAACACCCGTACTGAGAAAATATTTTTTTACTTTAAATGTTTCATCATGGTGGCTACCTTGACATTTTTAGTGGGGTCCCCCAGGTCATTTTCACAGTCCCTAGGTGTTAAGAGGGTCCTGACTAGCATAATAAAGCTTTTGCTTCTCTGAGAGGCTCTCACAACGTTTTCTTGGCAGTCTTTATCCCATTCTGAGTTCCCATACAGATTGTACTTGGGCATGTGGGTTAAAAAGCAATCGAAGCCATTGCAGTAAATTATTTCTTGATCAAATGCCAAAAGTATGAGGCAGGATTATCACACTGTATTAAAGGGTCCATTTTACGGGCAGCTTTTAAAGTTGTACTTACTGTAAGTTGTGCAGTTGTTTAGTGACAGATACAGTAGGAGAAATTTAAGCAATGCGATCTTTTTCACTCTTGCAAAATATCAATGTTGCAAGAACAGCTATTAGTGTTACACTTTCTGAAGTCTCACAAAATGCTTTGAGGCTGGTGGAGAGCTGATGTGTTCTACTGATGTCGCTGGTGAGGGGGTGGCTCAGAAGGGTTTTTGTAAAGAAAAGGGATGATCTGCAGCACTGTGTGTACTAGCTGCACAGAAATATACACCGCTGTCAGCAGCTGTTATTGAGGAAATCTCTAAAACGCCTTTGTTTCTTCCATCTCCCGTTAAGGTGATTTTGTCTTTAAACTCATCTTCAGGATAAGGGTTGTTCAGATTAAGATATCCAAGGTATTTAAAAGCTCCTTTTGCATTTTGCAGGTACCAGTACATGCGTTCATAGCTTTTTATATTGTGGCTGCAGCTGAGCTTAGCAGTTTTATTGAGTTTTGTAATGAACAGAGCAGGAGGATCCTGGTAAACACTGTTACAGTCTGCCAGACCTGTGGACAGAGAGAACAAACAACCCAAGTTATAGCAGCACATAAGCAAAGGAAAGAGATGGTGAAAATGTGTTAATACACAGTATATTATCATTTATTCAAAACTCAGATTCAGGGAGATTTATACATATAGTACCTGTGAGCCAGTGCAGTAAGACAGTGACCCAAATGAAAACTTTGAGCATCTTGACTCCTCAGTGATGGAGAGAGAAGAGCAGCACAGTAGCCCTGATCTAGACTGTGGACTCTGAGTGGGAGGGAGACAGGAAATGACAGAGCAGCCAGTAGACAACAGTTTTTTCTCACCACTTTTTGGTTTCCTTCTGTATTCTGTCAGAAAATACCCTGTTACTTACTGACATGTTATGATGTTTTTGTAATCTTTTATTCCAACACTAGAATGTAAAGGTGGTATACTGCAAAACATGAAACAAAAATAAAATTCCATTAAGAGTGTAATAGGTTTCCTGTCCACATGTTGCCAAATGGACCTGTGGCGATCGCTAACTCTGGCAAATACCGCTTCTTGTAGGCAGAAGATCAGCAACGGGATCTCTTGGGGGTAATTACTCTCCTTGAAAAGCAGTGGTTGGAGTTGTAAAAAAAGAAAATGTATTTTCTTCTTTTGAGCGGGAAAAGGAAAGAGATATGAGCCTTAACTATAGAGCTTGGACAAGGTTCTGCAACTATAACATTCCCATGCAACTGTCAGATAGCTGAGTCTGATCCTTGGTCTGAGGATGTTCTCAGCAGATAGTTCGAGTTGAAAAACATCTACTATGGCACAAGAACAATTTGAATGATTTGTCAATTACTGCCCAGCGGCACTCACTTCAGTGGTCATGAAGTGCTTGGAAAGCCTTGTACTATCCTGTATGAATTGCACTATCCCAGACTCCCTTGACTAACTTCCGTTTGCTTACCTCCTGAATAGGTCATTTGATGATGCCATATCTCTAGCAATACATACTGCGCTAGACCAGATGCTGTTTGCTGTTTATAGATTACAGCTCAGCCTTTAACACAATTGTACCCACCAAGCTGGTCCCAAAACTCAGGAATCTGGGCTTATGCAACTCTATCTGCAACTGGATACTGGATTTCCTGATGGGCAGACCTCAGGTGGTGAAAATTGGCAACAATATCTCCTTTACAGTGAGCCTAAACACTGGAGCTCCCCAAGGCTGCTTCCTCAGTCCTAGGTTGTACTCCTTGTTCACCTAAGACTGAACAGCCACTTACAGCAGCAGCCGCATTATTAAGTTTGCAGATGGCACCACAAGTATCGGGCTGATCAGGAACAACAATGAGTCCACATCCAGGAGTGAGGTGGAGAATGTTCATGTGAAATCCCCAAGAATGCACAAGAAAAGAAGTTTAGCAGAGCCACATCTGACAGGAGGCCAGAACTCACCTCCTCTGCGATACCTATGACAACCACAGTGTAACTGAAATGTTTGAAGTTAACACTTACTGTAACACCACAAGATGCTGTCTAACAAAGCCTTGTGTGTCAATCACAAGGATGGCCACTGCACAGATTATAATCATATTCATGTCTCCACCTATAACTTAACTGTGATTTTGTAGGTTAAAGGAGCCGATGTTTCCACAGCAAAATATTTTTATTTTGGACTACAGTCCTTTCTTTGGCTCTGCAATGTAAGAATTGAACAATTATCATTACTGCCAAAGACATATTTTGTATGGGACACACCCCACAAGGAAAAGATTTTAACTGTTTAAAAGATTTGAGCAAGTTTGTACCACTCAGTGTTTGGGTTTTTCACTATTCCTTGTGTTGTAGCCTCCCCTACAGATCAAGATGAGTTACTGTACTCTTGACAGCAAACAGTACAGACTTAAGTATGGGAGAAGGAGTTTTTGACAAGTTGTGCAGCAGCTCTGTATCACTGTGTTTGCCAGCTGCACAGAAGTATGTGACGCTGTCTCCTGGTTCCAGATTCTTCACTGTGAAAGATCCTTTTTGAGCTTCAGTCTTTTTAACGTCATATTTCTTTGTACTGAGTTCTCCAAAGTCAGGGTCAATACCAACAACAGAATAGACTATGAGCTGAATTCTCTCTCCTGGGAGCTGACGGAACCAGTACATAGCATTGTAGCTAATACCCCCCTGGTGTTCACAGTGTATCGATACTGACTCTCCTGTATTGTTCCAGAGAATGAGTGGGGTCTGGGAGACATGGAGTTCTTGACCACAACCAGCTGAAAGAGAATAAAAGAGCTAATGTGAGAAGAGAAATAAAAACTCCCTGATATTGCTTCCCTTGCAAAAATTTAAAGAACTAGTACTTATATTCTAAGATAGAAAACCATTTAAACAGTCCATTTAAGAACACAGATTTCTTCTCAACAATAACTGTGTTCCAATATTTGTCATTTAAAATAGTTTTTACTATTTTAGGAGATTGCTTGCTTCACAAAAGAATTGTGTTACTTTTTCTTAAAAATTCAGAAACAAATAAAAGTCAGCAAGTTTACTTGTTATAATGTGTAAGAGAAGAAGAGAAGCCAGAGGATATCTCATCTCTCCTATGAAGTCCAGAGGCTTATTCTACTGACACAGACAATGAGCACCTTCAGAGTCAACAGGTGTCTTCTTTCTGATCGGTAGGAGCTCTGTACAGGAAGTGACACAGCTAGTATGTCAAGGAATGAGGAAGTCATTAGGTTAGCAGGATATTTAAGTGATAATACAGTCACTGTATCAGAAACTGCAAAAACCGACAGTAAAAGAAGTTACAAAATAGAGGAAGACCATTCCGCCCAGTAAATCAAATAGTCGGGGAATCAATTACAAATACCCAGAAGACATGTCAAAGACTCCACAAATAAAATTTCTTCAAAAAGTCTTTTGAAGATCTGTTGCAATTGGGGAGGGAAATAACAGCTAGTATCAAAAAATATTCACAAAGTGTTGCTACTGTATATTGAGCTACAGCAACATCACTGATTGGCATCAGTCAGAAACATTAATTTTCAAAACTGCCATGCAGCACCTGGCTTGAGGGAAGGAAATACATCATGATTACAGTTAATTTCTTTTAATGCTGATAACAATAAAATTACATGTGGTTTCCCTCTCATTTGGAGTAAGAAATAACTTTGTAGCTGGTGTTGCAGGTGCAACAAAACAGTGATACTAACATAGATCTGTTTTTGTCTGGTCTTCACGTGCAGCCAGCTCACTGTGCCTCCTGCTTTGCACAGAAGTACACAGCACTGTCAGCAGACTTCAGTTCCCGCACAGTCAGGTACAAAGATGAATCTTTCCGCTCTGAAGAGAACCTTCCTTCAAATTTTTTTTCCATTGATTCCGTGTCATAATAGTAATATACTATGAGCTCCAGATGTTGTCCAGGCAGCTGGCGGTACCAGTACATTCCACTGTAGCTGGTGCCTTTCTGAGAGCAGTACAGAGTCACATTGTGTTCTTCTTCAATCATGACATTGGGAGACTGGTCAACTGCTAGAGCTGAAGGGAGAAACAAGACAGTCAATAAATGTCAGAACCTTGAGAATATCAGAGAATCCCATACTTATTATGCAGTTAGCCCAGTCTAAAAGGTCCTACTGAAAACAGCACTTGTGAAATATGAAATGATTTCTCTTTTCCAGCCATTAAGATGCATTTTCCTATGTCTTGAAAGCCAAACATGCTGCTAAAAGCTTTTTGAAATACACTGTGCATTAGATTCCTCTCAAAAGAAATTACAAGATATGAAAGTTTGCAGCTGTATGTTTTTTGCACCCATTTCAAAGCAACAGAAAAATAAAAAAACAAGACATTATTTTTAAATTAAACATGGACGATCTTCTTGTTGAGTGACGCCCTGATTATAAGGTTTGTACCTAGAGGAATCAGGAGCAGGATGATGGCCAGAGCCATGCTCTTCAGTGGTGTACATGAAGAGAGCATCAACATCTAGAGGGACTGGAGCTGCCCCTGCCTGTTTAGGGCTCTGTTCAGGAAGTGACTCATCCAGCTGATCTCTGACTGAGAGGTGAATGCTGGCTTAATTGCAGACGTCTTAAACTTGTTTAAATAGTCTATCGTAAAAACACAAGTGTGTTTGCCAGCATTCACAGAAAGGGCATTCATATATCCTGCTCCAGTGGGTTTTTCACAACCTCTCTGCTGGCCACAGTATATTGTACTTTTCTCTTTGCAAAAAAAATATACAGCTTACAACTTAAGAAAACAAATGCACTGTTAAACATGTCTTCGGTGTTGTATGGAATCCAGACCCCAAGCATCTTTTATTTATTGAGCTCCCCAGCAGCATTCTATACATCTCCCAAAGAAGGCTCCTCACAGCCGAAAACATTGTGTTTCTTTTCTGCTCTTTTCAGCATGGAATAAACATTTACTTCTTCCTTGTCTCTTTCTCTCCCCCATTTACAGTAAGTGAGGCAGTGCTTTCTTTATCCATCCCAAACCTAGTCACCAACCCGACTGGCACCCTGTTATAGTGTGCCCAGATAGTAAAAAACAGCATGACTAACAGCACACCTGAGACTGAAAAACAGTGAGTCTCAGCAAAACCTCAGCTTTCTGGATGTCTGAATACTTTTGGCACATATATATTCCACATGGCTAATTCCTGTCATGGAAACATTCACACTCTCCTTAAGGGGAATCAGGGTAGTGCCCTGTCTAAAATAAGTCTACACAACAAGTATAGAATATATGAACAACAACGAGAATATATGAACCATTAATATAGATTCAGTTTATTAGTTTATTATTATTAGTTTATTCAGTTTAAAATGTTGTTTTTGGTAAAGGGTTTTTGTGCAAGGTCCTATGTTGGGAATTTACCATTTCTTGTATTCTCTTGCCCCCTGTAGGACAGAGAACAGCAGCACAACAGCTGAGCTGAGAGCTCTGAATACGTTTTTTTTATTAAACATGTTCATCTAATCAGCACAGGAAGATGTAGTTACACACTTTCTTTCTACTTAGCAGGGTGAAATGCAAAAAGGATGCAATGTTGCTTTTCATCATTTTGTATGATTCCTGCAGATAGTGATACTGCACTGTGCTGTGCACTCCTCCCCTTGCTGTTAAACTCCACTATGCCATGCATTCAGAGAGCTGTCACATCTCACAGCTAAAGCATTCAGCAGCTGCTTCATACTGTGTGTCTGTGCACTCCATGTCTGGGTGCACCCAGCAATTGAAAGTACTCCCTGCAACTCTGTTGAGAATGTATGGCATGCAGTTCATGCATTGGTGCACCTTGGTGTTGCCTCAGTTGGTGTATTTTCTGTGTTTCTATGAGCTTCATGACCCATGTACGTCTTGCATTGGTCACGCACTCAGTATCCCAGTTCTGGGAAATTCAGTATCCTGGTGTTCTTCTGTCCTACGAACTTTACTCACTTGCGTGCTGCATTATGTTATATTGGGTCAGTGCTTTTCAGTTAAGTGCTGTCTATGCTCTAGATTCTAGAGTCTAGAACTTGTGGTGCCAATCATACATTGCACTCCTTTAACCACGGCATCCTCAATTTCTGCAAAAAATGTGCCAATACAGTCCATTACCACCTAGCACCTAGCAAATTATCCCTAGAGGATGGCTATGGCTTGTCTTAGATCTGTTACCCCTCCAGTACTACAATAAAATAATTTTGCCATGAAGTGGATTATCTGAGAAGTCCTTGAGTGAATTTATGTACAAGCATATCAAAAAGAAAAGGGAGGCCTACTCTATTTCAACAAGCATAAGAATATGCAGCAAGTAGCAAACAAATCATTCACTGGGTACTAGTAAATCTTCATTAAAGTGAGTTGCATTCTTCTTCTAAACAGCACCATATACAGTGCTGTATAGTAAAATTACAGTCTGTATATTGTACCAAGTGTAATACCATATGCTACATCATCTTGCTTCCCCAGTTCAAGGGAGTGCTTGACTTGTCAAAACTGTTAGATTATCAAATTTGATTTAAGCTAGAGATAATGTAAACTTTATCCCCAGCAATCAGTCAAGAAGACTGTTTGCTACATGTTATAACAGCCACAGATGCTCCAGATTCTTTCTGTGCCTCTCTCCAGCCAAGCTGACTGGAGTGGAGAGAGCTCTCCTGGAGATGAGTGTTTGAAAGTAGACACCTCCGTCCTTTTTAAAAGTTTATTTTTAGAGCTCCCAATTGGTAGAGATTGCTAGGGAAGTGGTGAGGGTTTGTGTGTGTGTGCGTTTTTTCGAGAGCCTGCATGGGCGTGTGTGTCTGAAGAAACTGGAAGCCAGCAGAAAGAAGGGGAAGTTAAGGGAAAAGATTGAGAAAAAGTTGTGTCGGTCATGCGTAAAAGAGAGGTCTGCAAGTGCAGAGCTTGGGACTGTCAATTTATAAGGTGGGGGTGGAGGGAACAGACACGAAAGAATAAAATGAAATTTTAATTTTTCAGCCTGGCTTGAGTGGAACTTTCTGACAGACAGATTTCTCCTTAGCAGTTGAAGCCATTATCAGTTTTAAATATATACGGTATACGTACTTGCTCTTTTTTCTTTCACAACTCTGCTGTGGACTTCACACAAGCTGCCAGTTTTGTGGAGTTTGTTAAGAAGGAAAAATGGCGACAAAAACACCTGTTACCGTGGCAACCAGGACGACAGCCTCGCCAATGCCTCAGAAGAGTGCCTGCCCTTCGGGGACACCTGGTGGGATATACTCGGCCATCTTGAACCGAAACCACACTATCATCGATGCCAAGAGGCTCAAGAGCTTCTATGAGCTGCGTGACAAGTACGTGAAAAAGAAGGTGTTCTTTGAGGACCCCACTTTCAAAGCAGATGACTCCTCTTTGTTCTACAGTGGGACATACCCCATTAAATTTGAATGGAAACGTCCACCTGTGAGTATACAGCTCATCCACTCTGCAGAGTCTGAACAGAAAACCATAAATAAGATAACTGTTTAGTTATAACAAAGCATACACAACTTTTGCAACAGAATTTTTAAATAAACATGAGAAGGCTGTATCAGTCATGTCAGGAGTAATCAAACGCCAGCTGCGTTGGAAATCTCCCATTCCACTGCAAGACAATCAGCTGTTCTTGATATTGCTCCTTGCAGACATCAGTAGAATGGATAGGAAGACAGGAAAACATTTGTTGTCACTTTCTACATTTTGGTATAATAATACAAATGCATGTGATACATAATACATTGGAAACACCAAACGTATTTATGTAACGAAAAGATCAAGCTAGAAGTCATCGACTAAATGCTGGGGAAAGGTTAACCTCAATTGGGTCGCAAACAGCCGTTATGAAAATTCTGTGATTCCATCCTTAGCGGCTGATTTCCACAAGGGGGCGCACCTGCTAGCAAGGTTCTGTGTTAGGAACCTGAACATCACAACCTGTCTTTCGTACTTTTAACAGATGTTTTATATTATTCCTCTGAAAAAACGTTATGGTGTCTATTCCTGTTTTTAATCAGTGATATTGTAAGGAGTGATTGTAAAGCTGGCTGGCATCACAAAATGCATTTACTGCTTTAATATATTGAGTTTTTTGCCGACCTTTTGTGAATTCACACAGGTACGAAAATCGGATATGTTCGTAAGAAAGGTTATAAATGAGAGGAGATTGTGTCGGTTTGACTACGATATATTATGTTGCTTTCAGCGGTAGGTGTAGTCTTGCATACACTATCCCTGTTAGGATAGTTGAGTACAGAGTACTGTCATCAGGAATGTGTTTAAAATGCTCAAATTTGAAGTTTAGGCTGCAGAAATGCGTCTTGCATTTTGGCAGCTGCGCACACTAGAATTGCTGTGTTGTGTAAATTAACTTAATTGCATTGTTCTTTACAATAAATATTATTTTTTAGATATTGACAACCAACTTTGGCTCCTGTCAGTAGGATACTGTTTCGGGACTTTCTGGGGTATGCAGATTGTAATTAGGTACTCGGACTCCTACTGTTTCCTACAAAACTTGCCCGGCTACGCGTTTCACTGTCCAGAGCTTCACTGAAACATTTTCATTTTCCGAACACGTTTATCCGCCACTGCTTTAAAGTTTTGTCCGTCCAAATGGAATGCGGTTTTAAGAGTTCATTCAAGAGCTTTTTCGTATCCTTTCGTATTTTCGTACTGTTAGGTCCATTTGAGGAAGGAACAAAGGACGATCGCCATACAGTATAAATCCAGCCGAACCAGACTAACATTGAATGTAAACTAAATGAGGTACTCTGATACTGTATCTATTGAAGCCAGAGAGTAAAAAACAAAACGCGCTATGGTATCTCAGAATTCCGACTAAGTATCTCAGAATTGCGACATAAAAAAAAACGTTTTACTAAGTAAAAACTAAGTCGTCATTTAAAAAAATAAATTAAACTTTAATCTACCTATCAAATGCAGACATTCTTATTTAAAAAATGCCTTTTAATTGCCTATGCTGGTGTCCTAATTTGCCTCTTCCTGTTGATTATGTAATCAGATGTGCAGTTTCTTTTACAGATGAATCTGTTCGTAGAATATATTTTATTCAAAAGTAGTCACAACTATTAAGATAATTGCAAAACGTTCATGTCAAATAAATTTACTATGAAAAGTAAAAGATAATGGATCCATTTACACTTTAATTTGGTTAGGTTTCAGGGCAAATTTGAAATCCTGTTCAGTCTCAAAGTGTCCAGGAATCATGGGTGTCATTGGCAACCATATTTAGAAATTCAGTTGGGTAGCTGTGTCAGCTTGACACCTGAAGAAGGCTCCACGGCCGAAATGTTGTGTTTTCTTTCTTACTCTTTTCAGCATGGAATAAATCTATTACTTGTTCCATATTTAGAAATGAACTCGGTACAGCTGAGCTAAAGTGAATGTGATGAACTAGCACACTGATGCGTTGTTTCAAACCAGGCAACCCTAATCAGGTTTACTTGCAATGAACCTACTGTAGTATGAATACACTTTCCACCTTCTATGAAACAGCTTCTATTGTTGAGATATACAGTAGTGTGGAGTATCAAGTGAAAACAGAGCATTTGATCATATTAAACTGCCCTCTTGATGCTTATTCACTGCCCACATGTACAGTATGTAAAGATGGAAGGTATGACTACAGCAGAAGCAGTTTTGTCCACAGTAGTACTGTGTATTTTGTTTTCCAGACTCCGGTGATCATTTTGGGATATTTTCTTCATTAGTGTTTGTTTATTTTGGTTTGAAACTCTCAATCCTGACTGAAGCACTTTACAATAACATTAAATTAAAATAATTTAACTTCTGTTTATTCCAATAAGATTGCAATAGACATAGTTTGCATTCCACTCTTTCAGGCATCTTGCAGTTTTGTGCCAGGCACTCAGAATTTAAAGGGTGAAAGGGAGTTATACAAATGATAAAGATCTCTGAGCTAAGGAAGAGAGAAAATTACAGCAAATGTGATCTTATTATTAGTGTTATATTAGAAGTCTGAAATTCACTCAAGATTTTTTAATATGCTTTTTTCCCCATAGAATTAAAGTTTGTTCCCTCATTACCTTTTTTGTTATTTTGGGTTTTTTTTTTTCACATCATGCGGAACTCTGTCAAAATCTATGCCACATGCCAACTTGATTACATATTTGTGCAGCATGCCTGCATCTGTGTTCAATTCTCCAAAACAAAAGCATGGCTGAACTCACAGCCCTGTTGCAGTAAAAGAGAGTTTTTCTCCATAGGATTAGCTCTTATAGTTGTACAGCGACTGCTCAACAGAGAACTCCATTGAGGACAGGTTTAAAGGCCATGAATGCCTTCTGCTGAGGTAGGGTAATCCTCACACAGTTCTTTAACCCACCAAACCTGATGTTTAACTGCTATTGTGTGTCTCAACATTGATGCTGGTAACAGTATAGCAGCCGTTGCTGACTGGGGAAAGGGGGTCCCAAAACTATTGTCCCCAAGCCAATGACAATGCAACAGCAGGAAGACTTTTTTGTATGCGCGTGTCCATTATGGCAAGCAGATGACATCATTGAACTGTGGCCAATCAGAGATTAGCTGTTTGGATTTATGCCAGGGTTTTTAGGGTTGTTAATGTATAGTGGAAGTGGCAAAAGCCAGTTTTGAAAAAAAAAAGGTGAGATCATGCCCTACACGCCATCGGGTTATTTCTGCGACCGTCTAATCCGCGAGAGGGAGAGGAAGGATGGTGAAGGCTCTCTCAGCAAGCCTCTGCGCTTCTCGGGCCAGGACTTCTCCCTCCTGAAACAGGAGAGCTTGAGGAAGAAGGTGCTGTTCGAGGATGACTGCTTCCCAGCCACTGTGGAGTCCCTGGGCTACAAAGAGCTCGGGCACAAGTCCAATAAGGTCAAGAACATCATCTGGAAGAGGCCCAAGGTAGGACCTTACAGTTCTGGAGTGATTCTCTTGAGGAAACCTGTTGTGAGGGGAGAGGGACAGTGCAGTTCCATCAATCTAAGGAACCTTGCTGTGTAGCGAGGGAAAGTCAAGGTCTGCAAGGCACAGACTGAGAGCAGTGAAGGGAAAATGCTTCTCCTGGGACTTTAACAAGGGTTTCCGAAAGAGAAGAAATAAACATGCTTTTTTGCAGGGTTGATGCAAATATATCTGTAGTGCTGTTTGAAGGCTGTGGTTGTATATAGTTTGTCTTTGAGCTGCTAGTAAATTAGACATTTCTCTTTTATAAGCTTGTCTCCAGCTGGCAAGAGGAATTTTTGATTCATGAAGTGCAGTCGTATAGCTAAACAGTCCCTGTGCAACATGAAATGCAACATGACTTGATTCACAGAGCTTATTATTACTCCAACCATTAATTGACCTTTTACCTTATAAGCAACTGTTTTTTATAATGAGCATCTTACAGCAGCCTTTTCCTTGAAATGCATTAATTATTATTGTTATAATTATATACTGTGGTTGTAATAATACGTTTTTCCAGTCCTGCATGTTTAATATTACTGTAATTAACCACTGGTATACAACCGCCAATAAAACATATTCTTACACTGACATGAATGAATTACCAAAAAAAAATAAACATTCAAAACGATAACTGAAAATACGAGAAAGTAAGTTAAGTCCATTTCTGATGCCATTACAATGATTAGAAACTTAAATTGATTCTTCATGTGTTTCAAAGTAGAGAAGAAAATATTATGTAATATTTTCATGCTGTGTGAGCAGCTTCTGTTTGATGAAAGTCATTAACATTTCATGTGCATTATAGAAGTCTTTTTATGCTTTACATATACAGTTCTCATACGAACACATTGTCACACATTAAATTTGAGAAAAACATCTTCAGCTGCAACCAAACTTAAAAAATACAACATTTTCAAGGCCATTTACTTAGAAATTTTAAGAAAACATACCTTGATACATTAATAACTTCTTGTTGTGAAAAACTCTGTCATGAAGATCCCACTCATGCTATATTGTTTAGATTAAATAAATCTCAAGTTTCAGCTTGTTCCAGGAAGGCACATTAGCATCCTGTTTCTTGTGGTAGCTCTTCCTGCCATCTTCCTTCACAGACAGGCAGGCAGGGAAGTTGTGGCGCTGTGGCTAACTGGCCAAAGGTCCAGCTGCAGTCAGCAAAGGGGCATCCTGACTCTGAACTACACATGCCAGGTCACCCAGCAAAGCCAAGCATGATGGACACTGCACGTAATTAGGTTTGAATCACATAGATGGACCTCAAACTACTGTAGCAAAGCACAGGAATCGTCTCTTCCCCACTGGGCTACAGAAATTGAGTGTTTTTTTTTCCCCAAGCCAACTCAAACTCAGAGAACTCAGAGGTTTAAACTGAAGTGAAACTAGGCACAGTTCCCCCCAGTAAACATTCAGTATTAGGACTCCTGAATTATTTTGAAATGGAAGTCCACAATGGC